TTTGAGCACGGCAGGAGAGGAAGCTGAACATGTTCTATATCTGTTATCTCAGACGCATTTTTGGTATCACCTGGCAGGACAATAGTGTAGTCCTGGAACGACCTGGAATTGTTAGCATGTATACATTACTGAAACAGTGCTGTCTACATTGGCTTGGGCATGTTGTGAGAATGGCTGATGGTTGGATTCCAAAAGATCTCCTGTATGGAGAATTAGTGCAAGGAAAGCACCCCAGATGAAGACCACAAGCTGTGTTACAAGGATATCTGCCAGTGGGATCTGAAGGCTTTAGGAATGGACCTCAACAGATGGGAAACCTTGATATCTGAGCATTCAGCCTGGAGGCAGGCGGTGCATCACGGCCTCTCCCAATTCGAAGAGACCCTTGCAGGCCGAGGGAGACCCTTGTCCAGCAGGCTGAGGCAAAGAGCCAGTCTTGAAACCAGCAAAATCATGGAGCTGGACAGGGGAGAGATTGTCTTTGGTCTTCAGTGTGGAAAGGATTGTCACTCTCGAATTGGCCTTCTCAGCCACACTAGACGCTGTTCCTCTATCCAGAGCACGTTACCGTAGTCTTTTGAGACTGAAGGATGCCTACTGTCTGCCTACTCATTATGACCTTGTGATAGCATGCAAGAAGACTGCAACAGGCACAATTTGGAAAAAAACAATGATATAATTGGAGTGAGTTGTCAGGGAATCCATGTGAATGCTGGAGGAAGAAATTTCAGAAGCATGTGGGGACCTATCAGATGTTTAGCTGTAATGTGTTTTTATTAACTGCACTGCTGGATTTGGATCTGGGAGATCTGAGTCTGAATCACTTCTGAGCTCCCTGACTCACTGCATATCAAGTTTATTGGGACTGCGCTTCTTCCGTGGCTAATCTGTGAAGGAAGAAAATATGCAGTGGGTCCAGCAGTAGAGTTGGTGGAAAAGGTGGAAAAGTTCAATCCACGTCAGTCTGGGAAAGAACCCTGATGGAGGCCCCTGAGAACTGCTCCTAGTCGGCATCAACCATACTGAGCAAGGTGGATACATGAAATCTGATTCAGTACCAGGAAGTTTACTGTGTCCTTAATCATGTCGCTTTTGTTTGTAGTGCTTAGAGAAACATCAGCCTGTGCTCTGTGCTATTAAACCACAAATATAACAAAGTTTCCCCCTTTATTACAGATGTTTCCTTTGTGTGCCTCTGTTTGTATGCCATGCAGATTGGTTTTTTTTGTGTGTGTGTGTGTGGTTTGCTGGCTAGACAGACAATGACTTAGGTATCAGGAGTTCAATCCCCCACTGTGTCTCATGAGTTGGGGGCAACCTGTGTAGCCTTGGGTAAGTTGCACTGTCCCAAAGTGTCCCCAGAAGGTGGCAATGGTAAACCACTTCTAAATACTCAATATGTAGAAAACCCTGAAAAGGGTCGCCATAAGTCTAGTTTGACTTGATGGCATACTGTTGTTATGTGACAAGAAGAAGCTTCAGACTTATGGTGATCCTTTAATTAATGATCTCTGAAAGATCCTGTAGGTAACAGTTGTGCTCAGATCTTAAGAAGGTAAAGGTATAGTTTAGTTTACTGAGTCAGTCCTTCTTCCTCTTTTCCTCTATGTTACCTCTTCCTCTTTTCCTTCTTGCTTCTGTTTTTCTAGGATAATTGTCTTTTCCTGTGAGTCAGGTTCTCTCAGCAATATACCCAAAGTATACTAGCCTCAATTGAGTCAATTTAGCTTCTAAAGAGAGCTCAAGGCTGATCTGGAACCCATTCATTTGTCTTTCTGATAGTCTGCCCTATCTGCAAATACCATGTGGTCTTATTTAATTGGGGTATTTCTTTTTTTGTGCTGCACTCTCGTGCTTTTTTTTGCTCTTTCTTCTATGCTTGGTTATAATGGCTCGTGTAGTCAGGAGTACCTCTGATGCCAATAGAATTTTACCAGAAATAACTAAACTGTTGAGTTGTATTGTCATTTTCAGATTGGCAGTTGACCCCTCAGTCTCTTAGAGGTGGCCAAAAGGCAAGCTGAAATGATCCCTTCCTCTTTTTAATGAGCTTAACAAGATAGTTAAAAAATGAAGTGGGATGAACTTTGAACTCTTCGTGTCAATCTTGACATCAAGGGAAATGCAATTAGGTGCTGATTATGCCATTTTTCTTTCTACAAAGGGACTCCCTCAGAAATACATGCCTAGGCAATCACACTTGCAAATTAAGCACATGCCTATCCACTGTTGAAAATTAGCATTTCCCACAGGTAGAAAACATTGCAAAATTGTACAAATGTAAGCAAAAGAGAGAGAGAAAGAAATCAGAATATGTGCATTTTTGCAAATTGCTAAGAGTGATTAGGTGTCACCCTTTATTAATTTTTTTTCTTGCAAATGCAAATACTAACCAGCCCTGGATCTGCTGAGCCTCTTGCGATCAAGGTTAACCCAGATCAAGGGTGATTTTCTGCTCCACTGACTGCAAGGTCTGTGCAGTCTGTCCGTTAACCACAAAAGACTGTGCCAGTAAAAAACTTGTTCATTTTTAAGGTGCTGCAAAACCCTTTGTTGTCTAAGGTATTCTGTAATGTTCTTACAAAAAAAAATGAGAATGCTGTAGCTTTTCAGTGCTCAGAGCAGTGAAGCAGGAGGCTTCATCTCCCCTCCTTCTGACCTGGTATAGAAAAGTTCAGCCACGCTTATCTTACAGAATGGAACCTAAGGCAGTAAAATCTTCAGCTTGCATGTTATTGTTTTATTCAAGCATTTCCTTCAAATGGTTTTGAAATATTTTATATACCTTTTAAAAAGGGACATTAAGGGTGTTTCAGAGGGCCTGGCTGGTTTCTGTTAATGCTGGACTAGATGGCAACCCAGGAGTGTCTCTTTTTATTCCTAACATGGTCCAAAAGCCCTTGTTTAGGAAAGCAATGGTATTTGTTAATTATTTTCTCCTTTCAGAGTCATTGCCTGCTTTCACATGAAATACTGATCTATTAGACAAGCTAAGCAGGGATGCTCTGAACAATGAGAACTGGAAATGGAGGCGATAAACACATGCTAACTTTTTGCGAGTTTGGGGAAAGTGTCATTTCAAAGGGAAAAGGTAGCACAAGAACTAGTGAGAGGAAGAAGGTTTATCAGGGTGATGGGCTGAAGATGTAGCAAAAAAACAACCCTAAAAACAAACAAAAACCACCAGAACTTGTGGCAGGTGCTTAGTACAAAAAGAGAAAACAGAACTGAGAAGATGAAAAATGCATAAGGAGAGCTGGTAGAAGCACTTAGTTCAGCAGGGAAAGGCCAAAGATGACACAAGAGCAAGGCAATGAGAAGACAGATGGAAACGTAGATTGACAAAGCAATGTAAATAAAAAATGTAGGAAGCCTTCTAAGTATTGACAGATGGGGGGGCAGCAGAGGGGGGAATCCTTTCTGTAGTTCCCTGAACACCCTGGCCAGCATGCCCAGTAGTTTGAAAATAATACTTTTTCTCATCTCTGTCAAGAAATCATGTAGAGTAGTGGTCTCCTGGTCATGAGTTTACAGATTGATGGCTGCCTGAGGCCGTGTCGAGTGAAAGATTACCTCCCTCCAAGCAGGTCCATTTTTTTTCAATGTTGTCCTTATTGTAATCTATAAAACAACAAATAAAAATTCCCAGTTCCATAAGGTTGATGGCTGTAGCACAGGTACCATCTAGTCACAATGAAGCACTCAAGTGGGAGAATTAAGCACTTAATGGCCTGTTAATAAGGAACTCATGAACCCTTGCTTTCTTCCCAAGATACTTCACATCAAATTCCTTAGCCTGCTGACAGCCACATAGTGATTTCCCTACAGGTTTAACCATTTTGTGATGGAAAGATTTATACACTTGGTTTGGCAACATTAAAAAGGCAGTCAGCAAATTAGAGACTGATACTTACCAGTTAACTCTGACACCAGTGGTAAGAAGATGGAAGCCCTCAGCTCATACAATATGCTCTTTCATGTAGTTAGGCGTTGTATCTCAAAGTATCTACTACAGTGTGCACAGGCCAGTTTCATACATAAGCCAGTGGGGTGGCACATCGCTTAAGGCATTACTGCCCTATTGTCTTGACCATTTGGATACCGATTGGATTTGTTAAAACAGAATGCATACATAACACAGAACTCTAAATCCCATGTGCCCCTGGGTGGGTGAAGGAGCTGGACATGCTCATACAATGAACTGTGTTGTAGAGACTCTCTCTCTCTCTCTCGGTGTGTGTATATATACAGCTATGCACATTAGGGATGAGACAAAGAAATATATGGAACATCCTTGGTCAATGGGTTCTTGTACAATAGGCAGAGATTCGGTCAAGGGACAGCCAGGTTATGATTATGAATATTTGATGTTGTCAGAGGTTAAAGGAAGTTGCTGGATACTTTTGTTTTATATACGTATCTGTGTCTATATTTGTACAACTTGGATTTTTTTTAGCAGGTTGCAATGTTCTATGAATCTTTTCGTACGAATATTGTTTATATTTTTAAGAAATAGTAAAATATCCATTAGGAAGATAAAACGGCTGATAAATAGTTTGTATTTCTTGGTATTGACAGTGTAATGATACAATCTGGTGGCTCCTTATATGAATGCTGAGCTGTGACAACTTGTTGAGGACATTTTTGTAGGTCATTTGGCAAGTCTGCATGTTAGAATTAACTTTAGAAAGCTGGGCTCACATCCTAGGCAAATGTGTCATCAGCCAATTATGTTATTTTGATTCTGCACCACACAATCTGTCAGTGGGAAATGTAGCAGTATAATCACCTCACCAAAGCCTTAAGCATCAGTTTTAGGCCACCAGAGGTTCCTTGCTGAGTGTTAATGAGTGGGATTCATAAGGAAGTATGGTGCATGAATGGGGATTAGTTCTGAATGTTTCCTTTCCCTCTCCACCCCTAATATTTTTCTTCCAGGTCCAAACAATTCCATGAAGTATACTATGTCTGTCATGCATTCTTTTTTATGTTCATCACAGTGTGTCACTTCCAGAAGAAAGCCTGAGGAGAGCCAAGCAGATCGGATTCTCGGATAAGCAGATCGGGAAATGCCTGGGAATGTCTGAAGCACAAAGCAGAGAACTGAGGCTCAAGAAGAAAGTAACACCTTGGGTGAAACAGGTATCATTGCACATACATCTGACTGGCTGGCAGCACAATCACCTTTTGATCTAAATGTCCAAGCCAAACATAAAAGTAAACAAGTGTACCATCTGTTTCATAACCATGGAAATTAACCTTGAGAGATAGGAAGCAATGCAGTTTTCATTATACGCATGAGAAACACAGGCTGAAATCCTGTTGCTTAGATTACTAACTTGCACTGCAATAGGACCATTGAATCAGTGAGGATTTGGTGAGTCAACTCCTCTGTAACTTCCATTAATTCAAACGGACTTACAGTATATCATAGAAGTGAGTACACCCCCTCACATCTCATAAATATTTTAGTATATCTTTTCATGCAATAACACTGAAGAAATGACGCTTGGCTACAATGTAAAGCAATGAGTATACAGCTTTTATAATAGTGTAAATGTGCTGTCTCCTCAAAATAACGCAACACATAGCCATTAATGTCTAAACTTCTGGCAACAAAATTGAATGCACCCCTAAGTGCCAATGTCCAAATTGGGCACAAAGTGTCAATATTTTGTGTGGCCACCATTATTTTCCAGCACTGCCTTAACCCTCTTGGGCATAGAGTTCACCAGAGCCTCACAGGTAGTATAGCTGTGACTTACTCTAGCGTGATAAGTTGCAATCAGAGTAGATTCATTTCAATCAAGGGAACTTTCAGGGGAGCTGACTCATTAAATGCCCACTGATTCAATGGACCTAATCTCAGGTCATGAGACATGGCAACAATCTTGGAAACAGACGACAGTGTTAGTCACAGTGTATATTCCTCACATAAACGGCCACTCTGTGAGCCAGGGTGTGACTGTGAAGAATTCTGAGGGCTCCCTTGGAGAAATGTGAGGACTGTCCCATCTGTTCTAGAGGCTTATCTTCTCCTTCAGAGAAGTAACCTTCTCTGGAGGCATAGGAGAAGGGAAGAGTAGGAACAGTTGGTAAGCACAAGTAGGCATCAGGTGGAAGAAGAAAACCTTTCTTTGGCTCTTTCTCCCTGATTAGGAGGCCAACGATCCCCATTAGCTTTTTTGTCTTATCTCTGGGTGACTGGGCCATCAACTAGAGTGGAGCAACCAGGAACAACATGGAAAGTACTGAAATCTAGAGGTGAACCTACTGGGGAATGTTATAGAAGTAAACAGCAATGTGTCTTGGCCCTACAGTATTCACTTTTTTTTCCTTTGAAAAAGAAAAAAATGCACCACATTCTCTCCTTTTCTCATGAGGGGCTCACACCCATCCATCAGGCACAGTGGGTAGGTGACATTTCCAATTGCCTCCGATACCAAAATGGCTAGTTAATGGGTCCTCTCAAGACATCTTCAGAATTCTTAACAGTTAAAGCTCCCAGGTGCCCCTGTTTTAATTCACTGAATGTGAGCTCTGTATTTTTCAATAATTCTTGTCTTCACTCACACCACGGGGGCTTGTACAAAGCCTGCCATTCTCCTTCTCCTTTTTGAAATTCTGGTTTGTTCTTTCCTACCCTTCTTGGAATCCGTGAAGGGGCCACTATGACCTATCCGTCTTAGGTGTCCCTGCATGGCATAGCCCATAGCTTCTATGAATTACCCAAGCCCCTTCACCACAACAAGGCAGCAATTGGACTCTTGCCTTCATGGATTGCTGCCTTGTCGTGGCGAAGGGGCTTGAGTAGTTCAGAAGCTATGGGCTATGCCGTGCAGGAACACACAAGATGGAGAGATCATACTGGAGAGTTTTGACTAAACGCAATCCACCTGGAGAAGGAACTGGCAAGCCACTCCAGTATCTTTGCCAAGAAAACTCCATGGACAGAAACAAAAGGCTGCAATTTATGACGCTGGAAGATGAGCCCCTCAGTTCAGAAGGCATCCAACATGCTACTGAAGAAGAGCGGAGGACAAGTACAAGTACTGTAGCTCCACAGCTAATGAAGTGGTTGGGCTAAAGCTGAAAGGACGCTCAGTTGCAGATGTGCGTGGAAATGAAATGAAAGTCCGATGCTGCAAAGAAAAATACTTCATAGCAACCTGGAATGTGAGATCTATGAACCTTGGTAAGCTGGATGTGGTCAAACAGGAGATGGTAAGAATAAACATTGATATCTAGTGAACTAAAATGGACAGGAATGGGCGAATTCAATTCAGATGATTATCATATCTACTATTGTGGCCAAGAATCCTGCAGAAGAAATGGAGTAGCCCTCATAGTCAACAAAAGAGTGGGAAAAGCTGGACTGGGATACAATCTCAAAAATGATAGAATGATTTCAAGACGAATCCAAGGCAGACCTTTCAACATCACGGTAATCCAGGTTTATGCACCAACCACCGATGCTGAAGAGGCTGAAATTGACCAATTCTATGAAGACTGACAACACCTTCTAGAACTGACACCAAAGGAGGATGTTCTTCTCATTATAGGGGACTGGAATATTAAAGTAGGGATCAAGCTTAAACTGAAGAGAGTAGGAAAAACCACTGGGCTACTCAGGTATAATCTAAACCAAATTCCTTATGAATACACAGTGGAAGTGAAGAACAGATTTAAGGAACTCAATTTGGTGGACAGACTGCCTGAAGAACTATGGATGGAGGCTCGTAACATTGTACAGGTGGCAGCAACAAAAACCATCCCAAAGAAAAGGAAATGCAAGAAAGCAAAGTGGCTGTCCAACAAGGCCTTACAAATAGAGAAGAGAAGGGAAACAAAATGCAAGGGAGATAGGGAAAGTTATAAAAAATTGAATGCAGACTTCCAAAGGAGAGACAAGAGGGACTTCTTAAATGAACAGTGCAAAAATATAGAGGAAAATAATAGAAAGGGAAAAACCAGAGACTAAATTGCTAACATGCGCTAGATTATGGAGAAAGCCAGAGAGTTCCAGAAAAACATCTACTTCTGCTTCATTGACTACACAAAAGCCTTTGTGGCAAGTTCTTAAAGAAATGGGAGTGCCTGACCACCTTATCTACCTCTGAGAAATCTATATGTGGGACAGGAAGCAAGTGTTAAAACAGGATATGGAACAACTGATTGGTTCAAAATTGAGAAAGGAGTACGACAAGGCTGTATATTGTCTCCTTGCTTATTTAACATATATGCAGAATACATCATGCAAAAGGATGGACTGGTATGAATCCCAAGCCGGATTTAAGATTGCCAGAAGAAATATCAACTACCTCCGATATGTAGATGATACAACTCTGATGGCAGAAGGTGAGGAGGAAATAAAGAACCTCTTAATGAGGATGAAAGAGGAGAGCTCAAAAATGGTCTGAAGTTCAACATCAGAAAAACTAAGATCATGGCCACTGGTCCCATTACCTGCTGGCAAATAGAAGGGGAAGATATGAAGGCAGTGACAGATTTTACTTTCTTGGGCTCCATGATCACTGCAGATGGTGACAGCAGCCATGAAATTAAAAGAAGCCTCCTTTTTGGGAGGAAAGCGATGACAAACCTTGACAGCATCTTAAAAAGCAGAGACATCACCTTGCCGACAAAGATCAGCATAGTCAAAGCTATGTTTTTTCCAGTAGCGATGTATGGAAGTGAGAGCTTGACCATAAAGAAGGCTGACTGCTGACGAATTGGTGCTTTTGAATTGTGGTGCTGGGGGAGGCTCTTGAGAGTCCCCCGGACTGCAAGGAGAACAAACCTATCAATCTGAAGGAAATCAACCCTGAGTGCTCACTGGAAGGACAGGCCCTGAAACTGAGGCTCCAATACTTTGGCCATCTCATGAGAAGAGAAGACTCCCTGGAAAAGTGTGAAGGCAAGAGGAGAAGGGGATGACAGAGGATGAGATGGTTGGACAGTGTCATTGAAGCTACCAACATGAATTTGACTCAACTCCGGGAGGCAGTGAAGGACTGGAGGGCCTGGCATCCTCTGGTCCATGGGGTTACGAAGAGTCAGACATGACTTAACCACTAAACAACAACAACCCTTCTTGCAGGAGGCCCAAGTTCCTGAGTAGTGTCCAGTCCAGTCCAGTTCACCATTTGTTCAGGCTCAGACTCGTTCAAACATGAAATGGCTTCTAGTACTCTTACACTGTCCCCTGTAAGAGATAATCCTTGATCTTTTCTTCTTCAGTCTACTATTCTTTTTCAGTTTATCTCAATGTTTCTGCTAAATAGATAGGTTACCCCAGAAGTAGTCTGAGGTATGTTTCTGCCTTAGAAGAATCAGCCAATGACACCCCACGTAACTCTGCAGTCGTGGGCATAATACCCAATACTGGTCGAGTTATTTTGTGACCAAAATAACTCAACAAAAATCCCACAGGCTACTTTTCTTCACCCTATAATATAAGAAGGAAACAGTTGGGCATTTGCTACCTTTTCACACTACCCCAAATATGCTGCCTAAGGCAGTTATCTTATGCTGTAAGGCTGGCCTTGGATTTTACAAGGACACTGTAGGTTCCCCTCATACACTCTGTAGCACCCGTTCATTCTGATGTGGATTTAAGCCACCAGGTCAGTATGCAGCAGTCTACTCACTGTCCTGCTGAGTGACCTTGACCTGTTAGCTCCAATTAAAAGCCATCTTGATTCACCTACCCAACAAACTTAAGTGATAGGAACCATAGACTTCCTAGGGTCCCCAGGAATGTTGGAACAATATTGCATACAGGGAGTCTTCTCTGGAAGAAACGGTAATGGCTGACCTATTTATTCATGTCTCTACCAAAAAGGAGGACCCTTTGGTTGGTTACTGATCATAAAGGTTATATGTACTGAACTTTAGGATGTTGGCTTCTTTATGATGGCACAGAAGTACTCCTGCCTCCTTGGCCTTTCCATCGTCCCCTTACCTGAACACTTCTAAATAGACAGATTTCAGTCGGGCTAGCAGTAAGGCGAGGTATAAATACAATACAATAAATAAATAGGCAAACTCTATACAGAGCATACTTTATATTTTTAAACTATTTTAGAACTAGCCACCTGCCACTGCAGGCCTCAACAAATGTATGAATCGTCATTGGTCAT